ATACGCAGGAGTGGGGAATGGAAAGCTCTTCTCCACGATAGAATGCCAGGTCAGAAATGCACAAGCAATGATGGAGTTAGAAGATCATCATGTCCGGGCGCGGTGGCTCCCACCTGTCATCCCAGCACTTCGGGAGGCCAAGGCAGGCAGATCACCTGAGGTCAGGAGTTCAAGACCAGCCTGAGCAACATGGTGAAACCCCGTCTGTACTAAAAATATAAAAATTAGCCAGGCATGGTGATGGGCAGCTGTAATCCCAGCTACCCAGGAGGCTGAGGAAGGAAAATTGCTTGAACCTGGGAGGCGAAGGTTGTAGTGAGCCAAGATGGCACCACTGCACGCCAGCCTGGGTGACAGACAGAGACTCCTTCTCAAAAAAAAAAAAAAAAAAGAAAAAGAAAATCATCATTTGGCCACCATGACAGGATGAAGTGATTCAGGTAAGACTCATCAAGGGATGCTAACACTCCTGGGTGAAAGTCTGATGAGAAACAGGCTAGTCACATAGTTTCAAAGCATCTCCTTGAAAAGTATCCATTACGAAGGTAAATATAGTAGTTTTACAGTGGAAAAGTCTGGCAGATCAACCAAAACCAACTCATCGATGCTAACATCACCAGAAGTGAGACAGACATCATGTGACTTCCGATAAAACACACAGCAGAAGACATAAGTCGCTTCTTGATATTCTGGACAAAATTGCATGCCTGGCTATAATCATGAGGAAACATCAGACACACCCAAATTCAGAAACATTGTCAAAACCACTGGTCTCTACTCATTACAAATTCTAAGGTTGCAAATGACAAGGGATGACACAGGAACTGCCCTAGATTAAAGGAGACTAAGGCCAGGCACGGTGGCTCACGCCTGTCATTCTAGCACTTTGGAGAGCCGAGGCGGGCAGATCACTTGAGGTCAGGAGCTCAAGACCAACATGGCGAAATCCCATCTCTACTAAAAATACAAAAAAATAAAAAAAAAAATAGCCAGGTGTGGTGGCGGGCACCTGTAATCCCAGCTACTCGGGAGGCTGAGGCACAAGAATCACTTGAACCCTGGAAGTGGAGGTTGTAGTGAGCCAAGATGGTGCCACTGTACTCCAGTCTGGGCAACAGCATGAGACTCTGTATCAAAAAATAATTAATGGCCAGGCACGGTGGCTCACGCCTGTAATCCCAGCACTTTGGGAGGCCGAGGTGGGTGGATCACCTGAGGTCAGGAGTTCGAGACCAGCCTGGCCAATATGGTAAAACTCCATTGCTATTAAAAATATAAAAACTAGCCAGGCATGGTGGTGGGCGCCTGTAATCCCTGCTACTTGAGAGGCTGAGGCAGGAGAATTGTTTGAACCCAGGAGACGGAGGTTGCAGTGAGCCAACACAGTGCCACTGCACTCCAGCCTCGGCAACAGAGACTCTGTCTTAAATAATAATAATAATAAATTAATTATTAAAGGAGACCAAAGAAGCATGACAATGGAAGGTAATGCATGATCTCGGATTCTCATTTTCTGATAAAGACATTATTAGGACAAGTGGTGAAATTCAAATAAGGACTATGGGTTAGCTAATAGTGTGGGTCGATATTACCTTCTTGATTGTGATCACTGAACTGTGTTTATGTAAAATAACTTTCTTTTAGAAATACACACTGAAGTATTTCATGATAAAGGGCTGATCATATCTGCAACTTACTCTCAGTTTTTTTCACATGTGGCATATGTGTTCATGTTTGTCGTGAGCATGTGTATGGGGTAGAGAAAGTGGTAACATAAAATGTGGTAATTTGGGGGGAATCTGGGTCAAGAGTGTAGAGAAGTTATTGGTTCTATTCTTGCAACTTGTCTGAAGTCTGAAATAATGTCAAAATTAAAAGTTGAAGGGCCGGGCATGGTGGCTCACACCTGTAATCCCAGCACTTTGGGAGGCTGAGGCGGGTGGATCACAAGGTCAGGAGTTCGCAACCAGCCTCAGCAACATGGTGGAAACCCCGTCTCTACTAAAATACAAAAAATTAGCCAGGCGTGGCATTGTGCACCTGTAGTCCCAGCTACTCGGGAGGCTGAGGTAGGAGAATTGCTTGAACCTGAGAGGCAGAGCTTGCAGTGAGCGGAGTTTGCACCACTGCACTCCAGCCTTAGTGACACAGCGAGACTCCGTCTCAAAAAAAAAAAAAAAAAGTTGAAAAACCCACTGAGCCAAAATGCTACGCGACAGCCACAGCACTTCCAGCCTGGAAAATTCTTACAGCATTTTATATATCATGTGGCCAGGTTCTGGGGCTCATTTCAGTGTGTCCTCTGTCCACCCTCTGTCACTTGCAGACAAGCACCTGCCTGCCAGCTTCTCATTCAGCTCCTAGCAGAGTCTTCAGGAGGTTCAGGCAAGCAGGACCCCTGCCCTTCCCCATCCCTGACCAAGCTCATTACCTGTGGAAAACCCGAACAAGAAGACGACATAGACGAACATGAAGCGACACAGGTCTCTCAGGATCATCTGTAGGGGACAGCAGGCTCATTAGAGCCGAGGCCAGGTGCGGGAGGAGCTGAGGGAAGGACTGGGCCGCACCGGCCTGGGGGCGCATCTTGAGAACACGCAGGAGGGTTTGCTTTGCTGGTTCTCAGTTGGGGGGTCATGAGGGAGTCACCCACCCTCCCCCCATAGCCTTTGTTCTGGTCGGGAGATGGAGGCCTGGTGTGCAGAGGGGTCAGGTTTCAGGGGATCCCCCTGCATACACCTGGGCCAGGGCTAGATTGCTTGATTCTTGGAAAACGGGCTGGGGACTAAAGCAGCCCCTTCCCAGGCGAGACAGAGAGGATGGGCGGAGTTCCTGGGACAGCATCTTACCCGCCCCCGAGGTGAGCGGGCTCTGAGGAGACCCACTGGGGCCCCAGGCACCCACCTTCTCTATCATGACAGCGTAGATGCCCATCTGCTGGAAGCCACGGGTGTAGTAGAGCATGTTGGTCCAGCCCAAGGCCAGGGAGAACACCATGGAGGCCACGTACTCCTTGAGGTGGCTGAAGTACAGCACCACGGTGGCCAGCATGAACAGTGACTGCAGAAAGCTGAGGGCGGAGGGGCAGAAAGCTGTGTCTACAGGAACCCGGGAGGCCTGGCGCCCCCAGAACAAAAGGCCGCAGGCTGCTCAGAGGACCAGACTGCAGGCCACGATAGGAACTAGGGTTGGGCTGTCCTGCTTCCTTCAGCCCAGGCGTTCTCCAGGGAAGCAGCATCATCCCCAAGGAGCAGAAATTGGCTTGGTGAGGAGGTGTGCAAAGTCTCACTCAAGCACAGATATAAATATAGTACATAAAGGCCAGGTGCAGTGGCTCATGCCTGTAATCCCAGCACTTTGGGAGGCTGAGGCATGCGGAGCATGAGGTCAAGAGTTCGAGGCCAGCCTGACCAACATAGAGAAACCCCACCTCTACTAAAAATACAAAAACAAACAAAAAAAATTAGCCAGGCATGGTGGCGTGTGCCTGTAATCCCAGCTACTCAGGAGGCTGAGCCAAGATCGCGCCACTGCACTCCAGCCTGGAAGACAGAGTGAGACTCTGTCAAGAAAGAAAGAAGAGAAAAAGAGAGAGAGAGAGAAAGGAGGGAGGGAAGGAGGGAGGGAACGAAGGAAGGAAGGAAGGAAGGAAGGAAGGAAAGAAGGAAGGAAGGAAGGAAGGAAGGAAGGAAGGAAGGAAGGAAGGAAGGAAGGACATAAAAGGATATATAGTGGCCAGGCGTGGTGGCTCACACTTGTAATCCCAGCACTTTGAGAGTTTGAGATGGGCAGATCACTTGAGGTCAGGAGTTTGAGACCAGCCCAGCTAACACAGTGAAACCCCGTCTCTACTAAAAACACAAAAAGTAGCTGGGCAAGGTGCACACCTCTAATCCCAGCTACTGGGAACGCTGAGACAGGAGAATCGCAATGCTATGTAGAACACTGTTTCTATTAGGCAGGTAAATCAGTGTGTGCTAAACCTACAGACCTTGCCTCTTGAGTTTGGCTTTTGGGGCTAAAGTATAGGTATCTCAAGATTAGGGGGAAAACAGAGGAAAATAACCCATTCTACCAAAAAGGTGCCTGCACTCCTGTGTTTATCAAAACACTATTCACACAACAGCAAAGCATGGAATCAGTCCAGATGCCCATCAATGGTAGACTGGATAATCAAAATGTGGTACGTATATACCGTGGAATACTATGCAGCCATAAAAAAGAATGAGATCATGTCCTTTGCAGCAACATGGATGCAGCTGGAGACCATTATCCTAAGCAAATTAACACAGAAACAGAAAACCAAACCCCACATGTCCTCACTTACATGTGGAGCGAAACACTGGGTGCCCATAGGCACAAAGACGGGAACAATAAACACTGAGGATTCCAAAAGGGCGGCAGCCGGGAGGGGGACCAGGGTTGAAGAACTACCTATCAGGTACTATGTTCACTACTTAGGTGACCAGATCATTAAACCCCCAGACCTCAGCATCATACAATATACCTACCTAATAAACCTGCACATGTACCCCCAAATCTAAATTCTTTAAAAAAATTAAAATAAAAAAGTGCACCTTTCACGATCATGTAAAATAAAGCTGATTCTAGTTTTACTTGCCCCCCCCAAAAAAAAAGAAAAAGAAGATTGGGTGAAAGGGTGGGGTTTGTGAGTCCTACGGACAAGCTAGCTGCAAGAGATTCAAAATCATTCCTTGCTCTTCTAGGAAGGAAGAGATCAGGACAGGGGCTGTGAGCCGAGATCCCATTCCGGAGTCCTCGGCGCATACTGGGGCTTGAGGCTCTGGCTTACTTTCTGAAGGAAGGAGGTTCCCTGCCACATCCGCACTGTTCCATTAATTTATTTAGAGGTGGTACCTCACTCTGTTACCTAGGCCAGAGTGCAATGGCACGATCTTGGCTCACTGCAACCTCCGTCTCCCGGGTTCAAGCAATTCTCCCACCTCAGCCTCCTGAGTAGCTGGGATTACAGGCACCTGCCACCACGCCCAGCTAATTTTTGTATTTTTAGTAGAGATGGGGTTTCACCATGTTGGCCAGGCTGGTCTTGAACTCCTGACCTCAAGTGATCTGCCCTCCTCAGCCTCCCAAAGTGCTGGGATGACAGGCATGAGCCACCACGCCCGGCCATCCACAGTGTTCTATAACTGTGCTTTCACTCATCTGCCTCCTCCTAAAGCAGTGGTTCTCAACCAGGAGTGATTCTGGCACCGCCCCCGAAACAAGTGAGGGGTCTTTGGCCGTATCTGGAGATGTTCTTGATTGTCAAGGCCGGGGGATGGGGAAGAGCTCCAGGCATCTGCGAGTAGGGACCAGTGATGCTGCTAAATATTCTACAGTGCACGGGGCAGCCCCACCCCCTACCACAACTAAGCACTATCCAGTCCAAAATAGCAACAGTGCCAAAGTTGCAGAACCCCCCGTTAGAGACAGGAAACTCCCTAAAGGCGGGCACCGTGTCTGTTTCATCCAGTATTCCAGGGCCAACCCCGTGAACGGCTGATGGATGGACAATGAGTGGGAAGGTGAACCAGGGCACATGTCACTTGGACTGTAAGTCATGGCACGGTTCCTCCATCCCTGGCCCCGGGCACAGAGCAGGCCCTCAGAATTCATTCATGCCCCGAGTACGTATTGAGTGCCTTCCGTCACTCCCTCAGCATGTTCACTGAGGTCCCACTATGTGGTCCCAGGCCCGGCATGAGTGAGAGTTCAAGTGAGAACTGATTGCTGTCACCTGGGGCCTGGACTGGGAATGAGTCAAAGTGTCACTTACAAAAGCATCTCACTGTAGCTGTCCACAAACAGGGTCTTCATCGACGGCCGCCTCTGCAGGAAATACTGAATCTGCAGGTAAACAGAGAGAGTAAGATCCCAGGCAATGCTCGATGTGGCTAAACGGTGAGCGTTCAGACGCTTCCTAAATGGCACCACGATGGGGTGGCCGCATGTGTGAAAGCAGAGATTGTGAAAAGAGCAGAACGGCATGGGTCAGGCCAATGGGGTAACACTAGGTGGCCCAGTCAGTGGAGATTGTTAAAAATACACGGTGGAAGCCAGGTGCGGTGGCTCATGCCTGTCATCCCAGCACTTTGGGAGGCCGAGACGGGTGGATCACGAGGTCAGGAGATCGAGACCATCCTGGCTAACACGGTGAAACCCCGTCTCTACTAAAAATACAAAACAATTAGCTGGGTGCGGTGGCGGGTGCCTGTAATCCCAGCTACTCATGGGGCTGAGGCAGGAAAATTGCTTGAACCCAGGAGGCAGAGGTTGCAGTGAGCCAAGCTGGTGCCACTGCACTCCAGCCTGGGTGACAGTGAGACTCCGTCTCAAAAAAAAAAAAAATACACGGTGGAAGCCGGGTGCGGTGGCTCACTCCTATAATCCCAGCACTTTGGGAGGCTGAGGCAGGTGAATCACCTGAGGTCGGGAGTTCGAGACCAGCCTGGCCAACATGGAGAAACCCCATCTCGACTAAAAATGCCAAAATCAGCCAGCTGTGGTGGCACATGCCTGTAATCCCAGCTACTCAGGAGGCTGAGGCAGGAAAATTGCTTGAACCCAGGAGGCAGAGGTTGCAGTGAGCCAAGCTGGTGCCACTGCACTCCAGCCTGGGTGACAGTGAGACTCCGTCTCAAAAAAAAAAAAAAAAAAAAAAAAAATTACACAGTGGATTTACAACTATACCCAGAAGTACAGACAGGAAGGAAAATCATCAAAATGTTATCAGTCGCTGTATTGAGTTGGACAAATTGCTTTCTTCTTTCTAATTGGTGCTTTTTCCTAATTTTTTTTTTTTAAGAAATCGGAGTCTCACATGTTGCCCAGGCTGGTCTCAAACTCCTGGCCTCAGCCTCCCAAGTAGCTGGGATTACAAGCATGAGCCACTTTTTTCTTAATTTTTCACATGCCGAGCATACTTTTCTCTTAATTTTAAGTAAGTGTTAAAATAAAAATTCTTGTAACAAGCTGCCACTGTCAGCCGTGAGTCCTGTCCAAGACACCTCCACACTTCTGCTCCCTCCCACAGGCCAATTCTGCTTTTGCCACTCCAGCCACACTTGCTACTGTGGCGTTGTACTTTACTGTAATGTAAACCATGAGTGTGAAAAGAAAGACAGGTGTCTCTGTGAAGACAAAGTTCAATGACAGAACAATTCCATAAAGGTGAGTGACTTTGAAAAAAATTGGGTAGAGCTTACACCAAAAAAGACTGGGGGATAAAACTCACAATCAAAGGCCGGGCGCAGTGGCCTAAGCCTGTAATCCCAGCACTTTGGGAGGCCAAGGCGGGTGGATCACGAGGTCAGGAGATCGAGACCACAGCCGAATCTCGCCTCTGTGGCCCAGGCTGGAATATGCAGTGCGGCGGCGATCTCGGCTCACTGCAAGCTCCGCCTCCCAGATTCACGCCATTCTCTGCTCAGCCTCCACTGATAGCTGGGACTCACACGCGCGCCTGCCACACGCCCGGCTAATTTTTTGTATTTTAGTAAGATACCGGGTTTTCACCATGTTAGCCAGGATGGTCTTGATCCCTGACCTCGTGATCTGCCCGCCTTGGCCTCCCAAAGGGCTGGGATTACAGGCGTGAGCCACTGTGCCCGGCCCCATTATGATTTTTTTTTTTCTAAGATGGGAGTTCTCGATCTGTTGGCCAGGCTGGAGTGCAGTGGCAGATCTCGGCTCACTGCAACCTCTGCTTCTCTGGATTCAGTGATTCTCCAGCCTCAGCCCTCTGAGTAGCTGGGACTACAGGTGTGTGCCACTGGCACCCAGCTAATTTTTGTATTTTTAGTAAAGACTTGGTTCACCATGTTAGCCAGGATGGGTCTCGATCTCCTGACCTCGTGATCCACCCCTTGGCCTCCCAAAAGTGCTGGGATTACAGGCTAGGCCACTGGCGCCCGCCTTTGATGTGAGTTTTATCCCCCAGTCTTTTTGGTGTAAGCTCTACCAATATTTTTTCAAAAGTCACTCACCTTTATGGAATTGTTCTGTCATTGAACTTTGCTTCACAGAGACACCTGTCTTTCTTTTCACACTTCATGGTTTACATTACAGTAAAAGTACAACGCCACAGTAGCAAGTGTGGCTGGAGTGGCAAAAGCAGAATTGGCCTGTGGGAGGGAGCAAATGTGGAGGTGTCTTGGAAGCAGACTCAGCTGACAGTGGCAGCTTGTTACAAGATTTTTATTTTAACACTTACTTATAAATTAAGAAGAAAAGTATGCTCGTGTCAAAAAAATTAAGAAAAAGTGGCTCATGCTTGTAATCCCAGCTACTTGGGAGGCTGAGGCCAGGAGTTTGAGACCCAGCCTGGGCAACATGTGAGACTCCGATTTCTTAAAAAAAAAAAATTAGGAAAAAAGCACCAATTAAAAGAAGAAAGTGCAATTTGTCCAACTCATAAG